AATTGGTCAATTTCAGTCTCCTCAGCATTGGAGGTTGGTGCATAAACTTGGATTACTGTGATGTTGAAAGGTCTGCCTTGGATTCGTATTGACATCATTCTATCATTTTTGAGATTATATCCCGTTACAGCTTTTTCCACTCTTTTGTTGACTATGAGGGCTACTCCATTCCTTCTACGGGATTCTTGCCCACAATAGTAGATATGATAATCATCTGAATTGAATTTGCCCATTCCTGTCCATTTTAGTTCACTGATGCCCAGGATGTCAATGTTTATTCTTGCCATCTCCTGTTTGGCCACATCCAGCTTCCCAAGGTTCATAGATCTTACATTCCAGGTTCCTATGCAGTATTTTTCTTTGCAGCATCGGAATTTCCTTTCACTTCCAGGCGCGTCCACAGCTGAGCGTCCTTTCGGCTTTGGCCCAACCGCTTCATTAGCTCTGGAGCTACTCGTACTTGTCAGTAACATGTTGGACGCATTCCGACCTGAGGGTCCCATCTTCCAGCATCATATCTTTTAGCCTTTTGTTTCTGTTCATGGGGTTTTCTTGATAAAGATACTGGAGTGGCATTGCCAGTTCCTACTCCAGGTGGATTGCGTTTAGTCAGAACTCTCCACTGTGACCTGTCCGTCTTGAGTGGCCCTGCACGGCATAGCCCATAGCTTCCCTGAGTTACTCAAGCCCCTTCGCCACAACAAGGGAGCAATCCGTGAAGAAGGTACTTGATTTTACTGATCAGCAACTCTGAATGTGAAATAATGATGTAACTGGCAGCTGCAATTTGCAGTTAATTCAGCAGTTCCTTTTTCGATTTCAGAGTACACAGAACTTCGCTGCGCTGTGTGCAACATACAAATCTCTCAAATCACACTGGAACTCTTTAATTAGCAGCAGTGTGTTGCTGATGATGATGTCATTCCTTCTGCACAAGCGGAAATGCACAACAGGATACTGCCCACTGTTTGGTACCATTTCTCTAATTCTCTATGCTTCCTTCAAAGGGTTTCACAATTAAAGACACCCAAAAACTAAATTTAAATAAAACATGAAAACTGCCTATAGCATAAGAACACATCTACAAATACATTGCCACAGGCAATCATAAGTTCAGTTTGGGCAACCAGTATTTTCCACTGCGGAAGTAACTTATATTTTAAAAGCTGATGGCACAACTAAATTGTCAGGATCAAGAGGTGTTTTAATTAAAACAAAAACCTCTTGGATCACACTGTACACTCCTTTTATCAGCTTTGTTCACCTACGGTAAATGGCCTTTTTAAAAGGGATAAATTCCAGAGATAACCATGTTAAGCTGTAATCTGTTACAGAAAAAATATTTTTGTGCCACCTTAAAAACTAACAAGTTTTTATCTGGATAAAGTTCTTGCAGAATACAGCCCACAAAATCTCTGCAAAATAAAACTTGTTCATGTTAAAGATGCCACAACATTTTTCTGTTTTTCTGCAACAGAATGCTTAAATTTCTTAAATCTTACTTTCTTAAATTACCCTCTTTCAAGACAGACAGGTAAGATACTGTCAATAAGAAACAGATGAAATGGTAATTAATTTTAAATAACTGCATCCCAGAATTCTTTAAAAAAACAGCCAAAATAATCTTAAGATTCTCCTAGGACTTACCAAAATTATAGTACCATATCAGGTACTAACTGGGATTTTGTTTACAGAACGGAAATTTCCTACTAATTCTGCATCTAATAAAATTATATTTAGGCATAGATTAGAACTACAATGTGATATAGACCATTGTGAGAAACTGCAGAGGGTTCCAGGCAGTCACTGTGACAAAACACAAATACGGTCAAGGATTTCTAGTAGTTCTACAACCTCTCAACTATTAGCTATTTGGATTAATGACTAGATCTTGAGTTACGTGCTACATTTATATCTTGCTTTTCCCTCCATGAGCTCAAAGCATTGTGCACGGCTTTTCTCTTCTCCACTATCATGACAACATTGTGAGTCAGTACAAGCTGAGAAACTGTGACTAATCTAAGGCCACCCTCCAAATTTCATGGCTCAGCGGGAATTTGCACCTAGGTCTCCTGAGTCTTAGTCCAACACTCCAGCCCAACACATTACAGTGGCTCTCTGGCTGTGGATCAGTTTCAAACATAAGCTGTTCTGGCTATGACAAACAATGTAATTACATAATACTTACTAGTTGTCATTCCAGGCTGTGGCTGTCCCATAGGTCCTTGATTCATAGGAGCTGGTGGCATGCCTGGAGCATTTGGTATCATGTTCTGTCTCTGTAGTCTTGTCCTCCTCTTTTCCTCTAGTTCTTTCTGGATTTTATAAATCTTTTCTGCTAATAAGTGGTAGTACTCTGCCTGCGATGGGGAATAAAAAATGAACAGAACAATAAACATTACCATTTAACCAGTAGACCAAAACATTGTTTCAGCTGCAACATATTATCATGGGTTTATTATCATGATTAGAGCTTAACTTTTTTCAGTACTAATTGTAAGGAATTACAACATTTGCTTTAGGGAGATGTGATTCGAACACTAATATAATGCCAATCACTGGGGTGGGTGGTCTGTATGGAGAGTCTTTGTGTTGCAGGTACATGGACCAGGGGAAAAAGGATTGATGAAGAGCAAGAGTAAAGGAACTAAATCTGTATCTAGCCACAGATGCCTCCATCTGGTGGGGAAAGCAGGCTCTTGCTGAAGCCCTGGACTGCACAGACCATTGAAAACTTAGTGGCAATGACATGGTGATCAGTAAGGATTGAGCAGCTTGGGGGGCTACTGCTGGAAGCCAAGCCCCCCCTTAAGGATTGGTGGGTTGGAAGGGAGTTATTTCTTCTTTTGTATCCCTGTGCTTACCAATCCCAAGAAAGTCAAGTTTGAGCAGTTCCGTTAGTTAGGCATCCTTCAGTCCCGAGGCTGAACGCTCAGATGTCAGGGTTTCCCATCTGTTGAGGTCCATTCCTAAGGCCTTCAGATCCCACTTGCAGATGTCCTTGTATTGCAGCTGTGGTCTCCCTCTGGGGCGATTTCCTTGCACTAATTCTCCATACAGGAGATCTTTTGGAATCCGACCATCAGCCACTCTCACGACATGCCCGAGCCAACGTAGACGTTGCTGTTTCAGTAATGTATACATGCTAAAAATTCCAGCTCGTTCTAGGACTACTCTATTGGGAACTTTGTCCTGCCAGGTGATACCAAAAATATG